GCTGTTGGGGGGGGACAGGACAGGGAGAGGGGGGGGTCAGGGCTGTGACACTCACCCCCCTGCACCCAGAGAGAGCTGTGACCACCGACAGATGGTCAGCCCCAAAATTACTGCCCCCCTCCTTTCCTCTCAGTTTGGGTGTGGAGCATCCCCAGTTTACCCAGTGGTCCCCAAAGACATCAGGGGGCTGCCAGGATCCCCTCTCCCCTCCTTCCTGGTACTTACGTGTATTTTCGGGTGAAGCACCGAGAGATGAAGCCGTGTTCATCCTGCTTCTCCTCGTGTTTCCCTGGAAGGAAAAAACACAAATCCAGGCTGGCTGGGTGGGCAGGGAGCTGGGGAGGTCACTGCCCCTGGAGTCATCCCTTCCCTGCCCAGCTCCCCAGATCCCAGCATGATCTGAGAGTGGGGAGGGGCTGATCCTGCTTCTCCTGCTTTTCTCCATCTTAATATCAGCCTGGAGCAACTGGGCAGCAGGGACCCCCCCGAAATCCAAGGGGAGCAAAGTGTGCTGCCAGGAGCTGGCAGTGGCCAAGGGGACCCAAGTGTTCCTGGCTGGCCCTGTTGACTCCCCAGGCTGGCAGGGCTGGAAGCTGAGCACCCACCTCTCTGTGGGGTTGCCCAGCCTGGGGAGTTGCCCCCGCCCTGTGAGGACCCCCCAGGCTGGGCACGAGGCACGAGCTGGCCCCGTGCTGCTGGCTCTGGGCTTCATCTGGGCTTCAACCCTGGCTGAACCACCCAGGATTCTGTGGGCAAGCCCGGGGGGCAGCAGGACTCGTGACACCCCATGGACGCCCTTAGACCCCTCTGAGGCCCATTAACCAGGGGTCCCTCCCTATGTCCCAGCTCAACTGCAGTGAGGGGGACTGGGAGGTCCCTGCACCTTGTGCAACACCTGTAGCATGAAGGCACCACCAGAATGAGCTTGTAACAACGAGCTTCCTCTTTGCCGAGGCTTTTCCCCTTCCTCCTCTCCTCTCCTCTCCTCTCCTCTCCTCTCCTCTCCTCTCCTCTCCTCTCCTC